CTACTTCAGCCCTCGCGTATTCTTCACAGCTTTACCAGGACTTGGGAAAGAGTATAAACTTGCCACTTCTGTATTTGAGGTCCAGAGAGTACCTATCATTCCGAAGAATGTAGAACCAAAGCGAACCAATAATTACATTACAACGCAACTCAGATTAGACAAAACCCTCTTAGTGTCGCGATTTTGAAGTGCTGTCAATCTCCTCTTTTCTTGATACGTTAACTTAGTCGTCGTCTTGTTAGTCGCTCCATCAGTGATCATCAGCAAACACAACGTACCGCAAAGCTCCAAACTTTACTTTCTTCTAGCTCTCGTAATCTTGCTCTCATCTGAACATGGCATCCTCCTGTTCTACAAAACATAAGAATTCAACTCAGAAAAGAAGGTAGCAAGGCTCTGTGAAAGCAGCAGTATCCTCGCTGGAAACCCACGAAAATCATTTCGGAGGAGAATTCCGAGCTCAAAGCAAGCACTTAGAGCATAAGAGCATTTCCTCGAGGATGAATGTGCGTTAGAGAGTATTCACAATTATCCTGCCTGCCTGCACCTACGAAACAAGACTGTGGCGAATGTAAAAAGCGAGGGACCCTAGATCGCCAATCCTTCCTAATATGCAGTTGCGAAACTATACTATACCTTCTCAGAAAAGGTTTATTGATAGTAGCCTCTTATGCTGTCAGCTCTGCAGAACACTTCTCTAGCCCCCATTTGCCGTACGAGGCATGCAAAATGACATCGGATTATTCGGCTTTTCGGATTGCTCAACCGGGTATGGTGACGTTCTCGGAGAATTTTGTTGCCTCTCATTCATGCTTTCTGGATACAGTAGTCAAAAAAAATTTGTCCATGAATTACACAGCGAGAGAGTTGCACGCCATCTCTCTCGTGACCATATCTGCTTGGCGAATTGTGAGCTATTCCAGGTGATAGGGTTTGCATAGAACCTAATAACAATAGTTTCTGGGAATCCTACGCCCCAAGTTTGACGGTAGATCGTTACCCGACCCAGTCAGTCGGTACCGTCTTCTCACATGATTGCCCCTTTTTACGAAGAACAGCTAAGCTCCTACCTACAGACAGCCACATTAGCAGCAGTCATACTAACAGCTTTTCAGACGTCACTAGAGACCAAATGTCCGACTATGAACTGATCGGATACGAAGAGGTTCGATACTTTGCACAGGACCTGATCATTTCCGACAGCTCATTTTGAGTCGAATTGCTCGCGGCGGCCTGTTTCCGAGACCTCTCCAAGGTTCTGCTTGAAGCACAGGGTCCCAAGTCTCTGATAAGTTAAGGGTTCAGACCGATGATCCCTTGTTCGTGAGGATAACTACAGGTACGAGCCAGCCCACAAATCATGTGAGTGGTCAGGGCCGCGTAAGTCAGAAGAACGTGAGATATTCTATTGAGAGAGAGACGCATAGGACTATGCTCAGCCAAGCACCTCCGCTCTCTGGAAGGTCAGAACTGAGTATTGTTCCGAAGGATTGGCTCAGCTGGACGGGTTCGCAATATTTGTCGTATGTGGCGGTAAAGAAGAAAAACAAAAAGGTAAGCTCGCTAACATCTACCCTGAAGCATAGGCTCGGAAGTTGGAATCCAAAAATCCCAGCGACCGAGGACAAGCCTTGTGGGTTGAGCTTTAAGCGACCTTCGCTAGCCTTCAGCCTGCCAGTACAGCGGTGGAGCTTGCATTGCAAGGAACAGCGTACTTGCAGCATGCAGCGCTGCTAGCTCTTTGCAAAGCTTGCGAGACCTGTCTACCTTTCTCTCGTGGAAATGGAGATCATGCAGATGATTCGAGCAGCGCTGGGTTGAGATAGAGATAAACGGCACGGTAAGAGAAGAGAGATTAACACGGAATGGAAGAATGATTCTCCGAAGTTGACTCGCGACTTTGGTACGATGAGATGACACTCGCGTATCTTTGACCAATCACCTCTACTTTTCTGTCATTGCTTTTGGGTTCCGTGGTACACTCTTGTACTAGACTGGCACGTTGATGTTCATAAGACCATGCTGAACCTGGCTATTGGTCATGATTTTACTCGGTAAGTAGGAACAATAGGATCGCAAGACGTACCGTACTACTTCATTCTCTGTCTTGAACTGCTGTACCATTACTCTGTGCTAGACGTTTTTCGCTGGTGGTCTATCAATACGTAGGCAAGATTCTCGCTAGTATGCTTCGACGTTCTTCCTTGATGTTCAGGCAAGCGAGAATTCTCAGGAAATCAGCAGGTGTTAGGGAAATAGCCTCTCTCAAGGACAGCCGGGAGATATGTTTACCTTTCCAAAAGCTCATTACTTCCATAATCTGCACGGACACGATGTTACAAAACTATCTTCTTACCATGAAGTCACTAATTACCTTCCAACAGACGATGATGCATCACATCCTCACTTGTCAAGCCATCTCCTAGGGTCATCCTCCATACTACTCATGCGAGCTATCCGGAGTTTTACGAATTCAATGACACTCGTTCTCATAGGCTCTCTACAGCATTTCTGATCGTGTCCCGAGTCAAGAGACTGCTGATGTAGCGACGCTAGGCAATCACGACAGAAGCTTTCAATTGGATTCGTAAAGGACTTGCGAGCTTTCGTGTCAATAGCAGGCGCTGCAAGTCTTAGAAGCATGGATCAGATGAGCTCACACGACACATCTGGGCCATATCCAAGGAGAGCTCACAAAAAATCGAGAAAAGGATGCAAAAACTGTAAGGCAAGGAAAGTAAAGGTCTGCACATTTACCGAATCGTCAACTGCAAAGAACCATTCGGAGCCGTTAACTTGCTATAGTGCGATGAACAACGACCGCTATGTGGGCCTTGTGCCAGACATTATGCCAACATCGAAAGATGCGAGTACGAGTTCCCGCCAGACGCTAAGCCATCGCGGGAGGTGGTTATCTCAGCCCAGATAGAGGATCCCCACCCAGTAGCACTCGCAATACCTCGGACCATCGAAGGTGACGTCCTCGATCCTTTCCAGACTCACCCACAGACGCCAACCAATAACTCAAATATTCTCCTACAGCATTGTCAGTACCACCTTTGCCTGCCTGGAATCAGTACCATATTCGTTGAAGTCTAACACGTATTCAGATCTTTCGACCGTCGTGATCAGGTCTTTTCCATTCTTCAATACCAAACGCATCATTGACCTCTGGTGGCCGTTTCTTCGAGCAGATGAGCTGCTGTTCAACGTCGTATTGTACTTGAGCGCAGTTAGCCTGGAAGCTCTACAGCAAGAGCCCGTTCGAGCTGACTCGACTCGACTAATGACGGAATGTATTGGCTTGTTACGAGCTAGAGTTGCCGATCCGTCTCAAGGCATGTCAGATGAGACCATTATTGCAGTCGCCAACCTTATGGCCATTGAGGTAAGCTCCACAATTCAAGAGAGTCATCTTTTGCCCTAAGTCTAGTTTGGTCAGCATGGCAAAGGCAATATCCGAAGTCTAAATATGCACATGGAAGGGTTGAAGCGTATGGTAAATGCGCGTGGAGGGTTGGACGCCTTGCGAGTCTCCAGTCCTATGGCGGCAAACATAGCGTTCTGGTACGCCTGGCGACCTTCCCAAAGAAGACCACATCTAATATCTTCCAGGATGTCCATGATTGCCTCGAACCAAGTACGCTCGCTGCCTCTTGCCTACGAGTTCGAAGGTCAGTTTCATGATTTCCCGGGCAGCGTTGTATTCAGCCATGTGGATCCGGAGTTATATGATGCAACTGAAACCAGAAATATGATCCTGAAAGAGGCAAACCACATGTCCCACATGTTCACCATCACAGTGACAAGTTCGTCTACCGAAGGTCTCTCCGTCTTAAACCACCTCTCCTCCCTCATGCAAGCCCTGTTTCAATTGTCACCAAGACCGGAGACGGATCCGGTCATCTCAAGATTACTCGAGTCTTGTCGTTATGCGGCTGTACTTCACGTCTTCTTTCCCTTGTGTGGATATTATCCCGATCCAACTTTGATGGTCAATACAATTGTACATGACTTGAAGGCATCTCTAGACATATACACAATCTTCTTGACTCTGCATACCGATCTCGTGCTTTGGATGTTCTTTGTTGGCGGTGTTTCCGCTTGGAATATGCCGGAGCGGAACTGGTTCGTTGATCATCTGGTTGTAATTACTCAAGATCTGGAGGTGATCACTTGGGAACATGTGAGAACTCGTTTGACTGACGTGGTTTGGTATGCGGTATTTTGCGAAGATTCGTTTAGAAGGCTTTGGCAGGAAATTGAAGTCAAAGCCGAGTCTCTCCGTGTTGCGGGACAAGTTCCGTGATGCTATGTACGACAGCTACTGCATGGAGAGCACTCTGGGCGATCGCGAGCTCTTTTGGCAAGGTAGAATCGTCCTTCTGAGGCTACGGCACCGACCCCTTGAAAAGCTTTCCATGTGGTTCGTTGGCCAGGCTTTCGCCGGTGGCGCAGACACGGTGTGGAGCTTGGTGGAACTTTTATTGGGGAGCGTCAGCTATTGTACTGAAAGACCAAGTTGATGATTCTTTATTCGAGCTTGCTGAAGCGCAAATCAGCCGAAGCATATAGCTTTGGCCTAAAGAATGTCCGAAACCTCAATGAAGTCTTCTTCAAGTCCATCCCTCATTCGTTGCCCAGACTTTCCTCACATCTTTCAACAAACACAAAGACCTAGCAGACGATCTCTACTGAGCCTGAGGCTTGGAAATGTGTACATTGCCCAAGACACCACACCAATCTACACATTAGAATGTCGAAAAGGAGGATATGGATTAATGCGAGTAGGGTCGAATCCATTGATAACGACATGATTATAGGTGAATGGAGGAAGGATGCGCAACGTTAAAGACCAATCGACGCTGCGTGATATTGCGTCTCTCTGGAAGTTTTAGCTTTGCTATGAAGAAAGAGAGATTCCCGATCTCATCTCGATACCCTCTTTCTACATACGATTGAGGGTATATATTTTAAAGCAAAGTACCTATAAAGTCATATCGGATATGGTGTATCGGCTAGCATCACCCGCTCTCAATCAGAGCATTGTGCCCCGGGTAGAGCCGGGTTCGACTCCCGGTATCCGAAATCTTAATGTCTTTTTTTTCTTTCTACCTTCGACGTTTTTGCTGCATTGCTCTTAAAGAGTTTGCTGGCTAGTGTCCTTTTTTTGTTGCTCTCACGAGGCGAAAGCAATTCATCTAACCTGCTTACCTGGTAGTGCGGGAGTGCTCCCACCTTCCCGTGTATCAATCTAAAGACAACCACAGTCTCAACTCGCGCAATTTCTTAACACTACAATGATAATCGCAATCATTGGTTTACAGAACCATGCACAAAAAGGCCTCTGGTTCTAAATGAGGAGAGCCTCTCGATATTATCAAAAGTCGGGAGAGAAAGCCTTTCCAAATGGACCAGTCACACGCCAGCAAACCTGATTTGGACTCGACCGGAGCTCCAGTTCAGACATACCATTGTCTATGCAAGCAGCTGATTCTAGCGACTACGCAATCACTTGACTCGCTACCTATCCGCACCTCCTGCGTCGAAAAACCCTACATCCTATGTCTGCCTGACAAGCTACCATCAAGCGAAGACTCGGACCCTGAAGATAATAATGGGCTCAATGAAAATCAAGAATCGGGCGAACATAATGGTGACAAAACTTTCAAAACGCCGGGCGTTCAGCACTTTGCGTTACTCTTCAGTACGATTGCATCGCCAAAAGCACAGATCGTGAGGAAAATCACTGGTTTTGAGAAGAGATACCTTCGCTACTGTTCGAGGTGCAAGCTCCCGATCGGCTATCAGCTAGACTGGTGCATGTTTGCAGATGAAGAGGGTCAGCAGGTGACGGAGCCGAACGGGCAACAGTGGAGAAAGACTGGCAGAAGAATGGACTACATCTATTTGTTCCCAGGAGGCATGATTGATACCAAGACCATGGATGAGACGTGTGATGGAGGAACATCCGTTGGGACATTGCAAACAAGGGAGAGTGGCGAGGAATGATCATGTCCAGATCAGGTCAAGGAAATTTGACGAATGTGACTCTGCGCTGCTTCCCTCGGGAGTCTAAAAGCGGGTTGGATCAATCTTTGTGTCTTGACCGGGGACAATCTCATCGGCTTAGGTGAAGAAGGAAGACGACGCACTTGAAAGATTGAAGTGCCGAAGCTATACTATAGAGGCTATATGGAATGTTGTAACCAACTGCGAAAATAAGAGAAAGAAGGATGCAGACATCCCCTGCACAGATTCAAGTGGTTCAATGAGGTGAATCACACATCATTCACACACCAGTTTATCGAGACAAGGCTATATTAACGAGAGTGCCAGACGTATCCGAGAATGAATTTTTGACGAAATTCGGAGTCGTATATCGTTAAGGCAATAACTTTGAACAAGATCTCTCGTCAAATTATCACGACTCCTCTTCTGTTCCACAGCTACACTTCGAACTTGAGGCCGCTCTCTTTCCGTACAGCACCGTAAATGCCAGCAATATCTCCCCTCGATCCCATGTGATTCTTCACCTCTTTCAAATGATTATCAGCCACCTCAACGTCACCCATCGTCACCCCCGCAGCCTTCGCCAGATCCAGCGCATGCTTTGCGTCCTTTCTCGCCAGGTCGACCGCAAACAGCGGCTCCTCACGCTTGTGGTAATCTCCCGACTTTATCCGGCTCGAATATGCCACGTACGGGCCTGGAAACATGGTCTCGATGAACTGGTGTAGGTTGTCGCTGCCCAGGCCACTCTTCTCCGCTAATGCATGGCCTTCCGACAGCGTCTCCACCATGTTCAGGATGAATGTATTTCCGATGATCTTGAGGTGTGTGGCGCGGCCATGCGGCTGGTCGCTAAAGTCGATAATCGCGCGTCCTGTAACACCTGTACAGTAAGGCTTTACTTTGTCAACAGCAGAGGCGGGACCTGCTAGGACGAGGACGAGTTGCCCTGATTCGGCCATAGCAGGGGCACCGAAGACTGCGTGCATGCCACCATGTCAGTCGGTGGAATTTACAATACATGTGTTGGAAAGAGGTGGAGAGCTTACCTGGACATGCCACAAACTCAGCACCTTGCGCGACAATGGCCTTGGCCAGGGCATTAGTGGTATCTGGATGAATGGTACTGCAGTCCACAAATAGTTTGCCCTTGGCTTCTGCCTTGAGACAGGTGTCGATGGTGTCGGTGATGGCTTTGTCATCGCCTACACAAGTGAATATGATGTCGGCAGGCTTAACTGCGCTATCAATGGAGGTGGCAACCTTGGTCTTGCCAGCTGGAAGTTTCGCAGAAAGATCTTCGGCGCGCTTGGGCGTGCGGTTGTAGATGATAAGGGGCTTGTCCAGATTACCCTTCTCTACTAGATTCTTAACCATCCCCTGTCATGCATTAGCAATGCGGCTTGACGTACACGAAATGCTTGTTTTACCCTGCCCATATTTCCAAGACCGATCCATGCCAATTGTGGTGCCATGATTGCTGCTGGCTTAATTGAAGTCCGGGTTGCGACTCAGGAAGAAGACGATGAATGCAGTTTTTGACGGAAGAGCATCCGAAGAAGAGACTTATAAATATGTTTGCTCGGAACTCCATGACGAAATAATCCAGGCTCTTGGTGCTACAGATATGTAATTTGCAATGTCGTCACGCACAGTACACCGGACTAATTCCGCAATTCCCGAGCTTGACCGTTCTCGACTCATGCCGACCCCTGACCAAGATCCCCCCCGTCTTTAAATGCTTTGAAACCATTATCACTACAATATTGTCCTCATCATTGGAGACAAATATTGCCAGACCATCAGGGAATCAGCTTGTTGAATTGAATGGTATGGATCTGAACGTCTCACTGATCGGATTTCGGAGAGCGTTCTTTGAGAAAGGTGTTCAATTTTTGTTGATGGACTTCATTCTTGGTCTAGAGCGACATTTGCCGAAAGGGAGAGAGAATCTGGCGGCCTAGGGAATATAGAAAATATGTTCGTGACTTCAAACGCTCTGTTTCTCTTGTCGCGCAGTCACAATCATGAGTGTGCCTGTATGTCAAAGCTGCGATGATATCTATGGACTTACCAGATCAGAGACCAAGTAAAGTCCAGAGCGAGGAGATTGCAGTATCAATCCGGCATCCAGGCACAATAGCGTTAATGTTCTGAGAGTGGCAGGAAGCCTGATCTTGAAGTCGCTAAGAACTGCATACATATATGATGCTGGAGGACACCTGGCGAGACACCTGGCGAGACACCTAGCAGCTCCTCCAACTGCCCCAAAGAGCGTCTAAGAGTCATTGCCATTATCCTTTTCCTGAGGTTCCGATCTACGAGGTCCTAGGGTCACCAAAAAAGTTTGTTCGGCCTTCATGCACTAAAGAGAGCTCATAGAATATAGAAAATCTTTCCAGACCGTTAAGAAGTGTCCATTGGGGAACGAGGTGCCACCGGATTCGATCTATTGTCACTATGTTATCCAATCTCAATGATTGTAGAGTAGAATGGGAAGATACCAACTGAAAAGTCCTTCTGTGGCTTCGGCTAATTTTGAGCCTCAAAAATTTGGAATATAAAGGCATGAGAAAACTCTAAAACCTGGAATAGAGATGGATTGGCAGCAATTGAACACCTTTTGCCAAAATTTCCATAGAGAAACGCTATCAGATGAAGAAGATGCGTCTCCCGAACGCAGTTATACGGAAAATCGCTTCATCGTAGGAGAAAACCCCCAATTTCCCATCCCAGTACTCCGCGCGATGGAAATGCAGTACACATGGTTCCAAACCTCTTACATATACGCCAAATACCCGTCCCACTCCCTCCGGACTAATCATTTTGGAAAGGGGTTGGGCAGCTCCCACGCCTCGTAACCGACTCCCCTCCTCTCAAGGTGGGTCTTGCCACTTGCCTCGTCCTTCACCTCTTTCCACAGCTCGGGCTCCCACTGCTGCAGCTCTGACCACGATTTGTACATCCGCCTGTGGTAGCAGGCCTCGGCAGCGGGAGTGAGGTAGCGATCGCGAAGCGAGGATCTGGCCTCTTCGGCAATGCGAGCCGCTTCTTCGGGATGTGAGATATAATGCTCCATCTTGGACTCAAGATCAGAGAAATCGTGCTCAACGTGCACATAGTTTTGGCTGGGACCTTCGGATTCGAGGAGAGGGTAGAAGTGGGCGATGTAGTTCAGGGAGGGGATGAGCATAACCGATTCGCAGTTAGCGAGGTAGCGGAGACGGCCGGACCAGGATTTGCCTGTTGTTGTCATGTTTAAGCAATGTTCATGGACAAGTGGGAAGCTGGAAAATTTGGCGTACTGACCTTCAACGTGGAAGAGATATTGATAATCACAAAATTTGTGCGCTAGAATGTGATTGTCTTTGTTTGTATGCGCTGCGTCTGCCCACGGCTTGTTTTTGGTGACTTCGACGAGATGCTCCCTCATTTGATTCAATGATTTGGTACCACGGTACACTGCCTTGGGAATCTTGTCCTTGAATGGCTGCTCATTGATCCTCACGTTGTCACGGAAGACTCTATACGAGCCAACTCCTGAAACGTCGAAAGGGCTCCAGCCCCCATGATCTGGCATGATCCATGTGTTGTTGTCCTCGCGATCTCGACTAAACCCCCAAATTGTCCGTTCTGGGTTTCCATCGCCTGGCCAATCTTCGACGTCAATAATGAATTCGACATTGGGAACGACTCTGGGATTGGGTAATGCTACGAGCGAGCGATAGACAGCTCCGACGGAGGCGGAAATTCGGGGATCTCGTTTTGGTCCTACGTGGTATGCGCGTAATCGTTCCTCGACAATGTAAAGCTAGGGATTGAAATCAGTTGTTGGTGATTGGGACTTGGCGAGACCCTGCTTTTCATCTGTGTTACCCACCTCACCATCATAAATCAAGCAATGCGCCTGAGCATGGATTGGATCATCCGAAAGCTTGATCTGACTTCTCTGAATACCACCACGTTTCCGATGAAAGTCGACTGCCCGGTCAATTTCAGCGTATAACTTGGGAAATGCCTCCTACAGAAATCTGTGTTAGCGGAGGAAAGGATTTAGTGATGCGACCGGAGCCAAG